TTCGGAAGCCTCTTCCCTTACCCCTACACCTACATGGCGGCCGCCGCCGCCGCCTCGACGGCAGCCAGCAACTCGGTCCACCGGCACCCCTTCCTCAGCGCCGTGCGCCCGCGGCTCCGCTACAGCCCCTACTCGGTGCCGGTGCCCCTGCCGGACAGCAGCAGCCTCCTCTCCACGGCCATGTCCTCCCTGGTGGGCGGCGGCGGCGCGGCGGAAGGCAAAGCCGGCGCCTTGGCATCCAGCCCGGCCTCGGGAGCCTTGGATTCCGGCTCAGAACTCAACAGCCGCTCCTCCACGCTCTCCTCGGGCTCCGTCTCCCTCTCCCCCAAGCTCTGCTCGGACAAGGAAGCCACCAGCGAGTTGCAAAACATCCAGCGCTTGGTGAGCGGACTGGAATCCAAGCAGGACAGAGCCCGGAGCGGCTCGCCCTAGAGAGAGACTCCCACCCACCCCTTTGGAACCGGGGGACCCCTTTTCCTCCTGGCTAGAACCCGGAGTCTCCCCAAGTTGGGGGGCGGTGGGGTGGGTGAAGAAGAGGGAGGAAGGGGCGAGGGGGTCGCGGTGAACAAGCTGCTATTCGGAACCAGACTGCGGGGTTCCTGGACTTGAGGGGGGGGGGCGGGGGCACCGATTCAGGAAAGGCGCTGAAGTCTGGGCTTGGCTTTCTTCTATTGTTCCTTCGCGGCGTGCGCCAGAAACGGAGGAGACCAGAGGGAAGGAGATCCAAAGAAAGGCTCGCTGGCATCTTTCCGGGATTTAAAAAGGGGACTTTGCATATCTTATCGTTAACAAACACACAGAGAAAAGCGCCTGGTCTTGTCAATCGTTGTTAGGGAGGGTGTTACCCTTTAATCGTGTGACGTCTGTCAGCCCGAGAAGCTGACTTTGCATGCTCCGGTCTAATCGTCTTCTTTTGGAGGGTGCTTTTTTTTTTTTTTTTTTTTTTTAAATGTTTCTTAAAATCCCCGGAACTTTTTTGTTCTTTACAAAACTTCCCCACTTTTTATTCTCCACTCATTCCCGTAGCAACAATTTAAAATGTAGACGAGGGGAACCAGGGTGGGTGGGTGGTTTTGTTTTACTTTATTTTTTTTTTTTAAAAAGGGCCTCGGTTCCTTGTAGAACTTTCAGACCCCCCCCCTTTACTGTATATGCAATAACAAGGTTTAAAACATATTACGAAGAAGAAGAAGAAGAAAGTGGACACTATTGATAAAGTATTTATGTAATTAATGGAGAACTTGTAAATAGGCGGTATATGAAATACTAGAAAATTAAAATTTAATTTATTGAGATTGTACATAGGACTGTAAATAAGGACTGCATCTGTCTTCTTTCGGTTTTTCAAGTAGCTTTCATTTCAAAATCGGGAGCCCCCTCGAAAAGAATCCAGACTTCTAAAGCAAGCAAAAATCCAAGAGTCATGATGGAGAGGGGAAGTGTTTACATTGATACTGGTTTTATTTGGGTTCACTGTGATTTTTTTGGGGGGGGGAGGGGACTGAAGACAACAAGAACAAGGGGCGGGGGGCGGGAACAACAGGACTGTATTATTGGGTCGTTGTCGGACTCGCCCTCGCTCTAAAGTGGTCGCCCCAGCGTAGAAAGGGTTCAATAAATATGTTGTTTATACACCAATAGACTTCTCAAGTGGGTTTGTGAAAAATAAGTCCAAGCATCCGGGCTCCCCCCCCTTAATCGTCGCGGTATGCCAGCCTCTCTCTCTCCTCGCCTCCCCCTTTCTCCCAGTGAGTTTTCACTGCTAAAGTATCCCCTTGCTTGGGGCGGCCAAGAGTCCATCCTGCCTCTTCTCTTTAAAACCTGGTGCTCAGAACTGGTGCGAATATATATATATATATATATAATGAAGGTCTAGTTTGTCTTATATAATTGTTTGAAAAGCTCTTAAGGGTTTCTTTCTCCCTGTACTCCCCGCTCACCCACCCCAAACTCGTTAAAAGAACTGAAATTTCAATAAAATGTTTTATTGAAATATCATTGGGCCTCACGTGATATGCCCCGAAGGGGAAAATCTTTCGTGATTCGGTGGGAAAGTATTTTAGGCGATTAGATTTTCAGGTCAGGGCAATCCACGAATAGGTTCCTTGATATAGAAGTTTGGAAAGCAGCACAGTCGAATTAATTACGAATGAAATATGACTTTCCGCTGATTCACGGCATTCAGTAGGATTTACTCCCAGCAAAGCGTAGGGAGGATGGCGGCCTTAACCTCACGAAAGTATCGCCGGTGACTTTTGTTGGGGGGAGGATTGTCACCCTCTCCTCCACCTTTTTATAGTTTTGTCTGTGCAGAAATCTGAACAACATGAAAAATGCTAAGTGTGTTTGTGTGTGTGTGTGTGTGTGTGAAGTACGGTTCCCTAAATAAAATTTGAGGGCGACAACCCACCCCCCCACCCCCCAACTCGACTTTATCTGCTTCCTTTTCAAATGGCCGGAGTTATTATGGGAGGGGGCGGCTCTGCCGAGCAAATGGAAAGCCGCCGCCGGCGAAAGGCCTCGACTTCATGATTCAGCGTTCTCGTTCCCCCGGCCAGGGCTTTAAAGGTCAGCTCGTCGCGAATGGAAGGGCAGATAAGAGCCTCCAGGACGGTCCCGCCTGTAACCGCGCCAGGGTCTCGGCTAGCCGGCTTGACAAATTGTCCTTTCTAGCCCTGCTGCTCCAAACCTCCTCGGCGTCCAGGCGAGGCGATTCAACTTCAGCCAGCTATAATTTTTTTTTTTGGGGGGGGGATCATTTCCAGGCTGTATCGTGTTGCGCACACCCCTTCCCCAGCTCTCTGAATTGTGTCTCTACGAAATAAACACAAAAAGATCTGGAGAAAGTCGAAAATATATACACATACTGCGGAATCTCCATTAACACCCCTCACTCCCATAGGGGAGCTTGGAGGTTTCTTTCTTTCTTTCTTTCTTTCTTTCTTTCTTTCTTTCTTTCTTTCTTTCTTTCTTTCTTTCTTTCTTTCTTTTCTTTCTTTCTTCTCTCTCTCTCTCTCTCTCTCTCTCTCTCTCTCTCTCTCTCTCTTTCTCTCTTCTAAAAAACATATGTGTGTGTGCGCGCGTGCGTGTGCGTGTGAACTAAACTTTATCCACAACTCCTGGCTAATTTGCTCAACATCTGCCGCCCCTCGAGGAGAAAAGAGGGGAGATCGGATCTCCTGAACGCAGCCCGGGCAAAACAAATATTAGCTTCTCGGTGCTTCAGGAAACATTGTTAAGTGCCCCTCGACTCCAGCCCTCTTTCTCCTTCCTTAACGGGGACAACGGCGGGGAGAAAATGGCTCAGAGCTGTAATCCTATGCCCGTTTACTTCCAAGTAAACAGTTTGAGGATCGGGAGGTCTGACGCTAACCGGGTTTTTTTTACACGCCGGCGGAGAATTCTTCCCCCTTACCCCCAACCCGTGTGTGTGTGTGTGTGTGTGAAATAATTCTGCTGAATGAGCAGAGGGGAATGTTGGCGGTGCGCTCTCTCGGCCCCCGTGCGAGATTCTAGTGGCAAGGGCTCCACAGGTTCCACGTTCATTTTGTTGTGCGCAGAGGAACACCGCTAATTGCCTCGGACTACGGGGCGTTTTCTGGAAGACAAATTCATTAAAGCAAGGAGCTGGAAGGCCCAGGTGAGTCCGATCTTATCAGCTCTCGGAAGCTCAGCGAGCATTTGGATGGGAGACCTCCAGGGAACACCAGAGTCGTGAGGCGGAGGCAGGCGATGGCAAACCACCTCTGAAGGGCTCTGGCCTTGGAAACCCTGCCGGGTCGCCGTAAGCAAGCCGTGACTTGGTGGCACTTCCGCCACCCCCACCCCCCCACACACACACCAGGGAGCTAGTCCTCCTTGGGGCACAAAGGCGGTCTCCAACTTCTGGGTCGACTCTCCCTCGTGCCAGGGGGTATCGGCACACAATGTGGATGTCCTTGCGGAAAAGGCGCCTGGAGAGATCCTCTATTCCGACCCTTTGGAGAAAGACAGGACCCCCACAGAGACACACACGATCCCTTCAGTTGAATCAGGAACCTCTGGTTCCCCCATCGGAGTTGTAAGGGCGGAGTAAGAGAGTGATGAGGCAGAGTGAATTTTGGCCAAGTGAGTTCACAGCGCTTCTAATTTAATTTAATTTAATTTAGCCATTTGCCTCTCACCTTTCCGCAGCAGTGTCCAACGCGGTTTACTTTTTAAAAATAACACACACACACACACACGGGGGCGGGAGGGGAGAGTGGAGAGAACACGATCAATACAAGGGAGCTGAAACCTTAGCCGGCCCCGAAGGGTCCACAAGCAGGGAATGCAGCCAAAAAGGGCCGCGAGAAAGAAAGACAACCACCGCGGTGTCGGTGTCTGATCGACGGTGGAACCCTTCCTTTGCTGCCTCACCTGCCCGGGACGGGAAAGGAGAGCGAGCTGGAAACTGCAAAGACACCCACACACCCTCCCGTCGATAGCCCGATCTTGTGTACTGCCAAGATGTGTCCCAACAGATCTCAATGTGATTTACTCCTAAGGAAAATAAGCGTAGATTGCAACCTTACAAGGCAGTCCTGTGGACGTTTGCTCAAAAGGAAGCCCCAAGGGACGGAATAGGCCTTCCTCCCTAGAAAACGTTCGGCGGATTTCACTTTCACAGGCGGGTCTAGCCGCCGCTTTTACGCAGAAGTCCCCCTTTGCCAGGCCTTCACTGACTGCAAGGTGCGTGTATCCACGACTGTCCCCCCCAGCTTCGGGTCACCTCTTTTGGCCTGAAGGGTTTCCTGAATCCCTTTCAATCGCTCCATAAAACGCGTGAAAATAAAACGTGGCCAAATCATAAGATGAAAACGTGGCCAAAATCATAAGATGAAAAAATAGGGACGGGGCGCAATTCTGGATGCTGTTGACTTGTGCAACCCGAGCCTGAGGCCTGCTTACTCAAAAGTAAGCCCCACGGATTTCACTCTCGAGGAAGGCTGCGAAGGACCGTCTAGGTGCAAAACTGCAGGAACTCAGCCACAAGAAAGGAAGGCTTCAAATAATGTCATGTCCCCAAAGAGATCGGCTTCGAAGGTTTAGTTCCGGTTTATTCCACCGACGGACGGCACGCGAGAGAGAGCAGCATGACCGTGCTCAGGGTTTCTGACTTAGTCCCCCCCCCCCCCATGCTTAGCCTTCCCAGCGATAGACTGGGAAATTCCTGGAGATTTGGGGAGGCGGGTGAAGCCTTGGGCGGGTGAGGTCTGGCTAAGGGAAGGAGCTGAACAGGGGTGATGCCACATAGAGTCCACCCTCCACGCGGCCATTTTCTTGAGAGGAACTAATCTCCGCCCTCTGGAGGTGAGTTGTGTTTCCGGGAGATCTCCAGGCTCCACCTGGAGGTTGGCAACACTAGCGGGCGTGCTCAATGATTCGATCGATCCCGTACTTAGAACTGGCACAGCCGGGACAAGAGTCTCGACTTCCGCTCTGAGAAGAAGCGAAGCGGTACCAGACTCTCAGAAACTGCCCGTTGAATTAAAATCCAGAGGGCAACACGCATCCCACGGAGGAATCCGAGAGGGATGGAGGGAAGGACCTTGCTTTGCTGTCCGCCCTCCTCCGTTCAACCAGTTGGATGTCCTGCATATCTTATGTGTATATTACTCTCCTCTTGCTCTAACCCCCCCCCCGCCGCCTCTAAGCAGTCTGGACAATCTTTCTGAAGTGCTTTCTGGAGTTTATTTCAATCCCGCCGCTCCTTCCCCAAAAAAGATGCACCGTGTTAAGCGTAGGACTCATTTCTAGTAACGTTAATGAGTAACTCTTGTGGCGCTTGTCGGGGGAGGCAAACAGCAAGCAATCGCCCTGGATTATCCTGTCTATTACTCACCTGGCGCCTCGGGTTGATATCCCGAATGGTTTTATGGCTCTGCAAGCTTGGGCAGGGCGGGCCTCCGCGGCTCGGGGCTCCTGCCGCCTTCTGCGGGGCCGCAGCGCCACCTATCGCCGTGACTGAAGAACGACACTCAAGGGCTCCCTCTTTCCGCCGACCTGACTCACTTGGTCTGCTGCCGGAGGCAGGTAGACGACACCGCGAGTGTATCTCCCCAAGCAACGAGAAACGCAATACCTTTCCATCCCCACCTCCGTGGATAACCTTGGGGAGCCTGAAGACTAAACTGTCGAGGCCATGGGCTTTCGCCCACTGGATCCAAGGTCTCTAAAGGCAGCTGTGCCTCCAGATTCTCTCTTGTGATTGCTGCGACGGGAGAAAAGCCCAAGCTGATGGAGCGGGCAACGGGACACACTTATCTAGAGTTTGCCCCCGTTTCCCATGACGGGTGATGACCTAAGGCAGGAGGAGGAGAGCTGAGTCCGCTTCCGAAGCTGCTTCTCGATTCCAGTCTTGACACCCCACCCCCCCAAGCAGGAACTGTCTCCCGGAACACGTGCATGGGGCTCGCTCTCTGGTTCGGCTCCTTCATACCCCGCCTCAACAAGCCCACC